GATATATATACTAAAATAAACTACTACTTTCTGCTTGTACTACTCTTCATACTTCGCGGTTTTTCACTTGTTGCAGGTCTTCAGGGTACGGATCCCACACAATAAATAAGGGACTACTGTAATATGATTGCATGAGTATTTTTTACTTTATCCAAGAAAATAAGTCAAAATCTCAGATTAATTTGATTACCGGTACTTCTTTATAAAACTTGACATGTTTTTGTTTTGGTACTACTGGATATTGTTTGCACTTGCATTCAAATCAACCTCAGTTGTATAAGTTATATAAATTATAAAGCAAAACTCATTAGATATTTGCTGTAGTCATTACAAAATTAGCTATATGATGTTTGGTAATTTAAAGTAATCTTGTGTGGTTCTTGTGCTGGCTATGAGCACAAGATAAACAGTATGGTGAAATGTTCTTTCTTTTTCTTAAACTTAAATTTAATGCTTTATAATTTTACAAAAAATTCCAATGATAATGCTTCTGCGATCCCTGCGTCCCACTGTCTATGGAAGACAAAGTTAGGTGATATTTCAACAGCATGTAACCAGAGTTTTGTCATTTTAATGGTAGTAAAATCCACATTTTGTGTCCACAGGAGCATGGCTGCCTTTGCAGGGATGTGTGACGGAGGCTCGACAGAAGATGGTTGTCTAGCTGCCTCTCGAGATGACACTACATTAAACGCACTTAACACTGTAAGCACCTATGCAAGAACTAGCACGCTAAGGCGCACATAATGGAATACAGTTATACAGTAAAATGTTTGAACTGTGGGTTCAGGTATAATTTTAGCTGCACAGTGATGGGCAGTGACAAGGCCTCTGAGCTGGCAGTCAAACCCCCTCCTGCAATAAACTCAGCCACAGAAGCTAGCAATACAGTGCACATAATGAGAGATTTGTCCGTCACATTGACAATGAGTGCAGAAGAATCGGGCACAAGAAAGAGATTAAAATCATCATAAACAGGGCATTTATATTCCGGCTCTATAAACTGGAAAATTAACATAGTGAACAGGTCATTGTCTCTTGACCTTCCTCACTATTTGCAATTCCAATGAGTAATGCTTGTTTATTCTCAGAGGAGGAATTCCAGCGCCGCCTGTTTCACCCAATTTAATGTGACACAATGCTTAAAGCGCCACAGAAATTGGCTTTGTTTCTGCGTTGTTCGTTTTTAGACTTGTTCTCTCAGGTCCCAGCAGGCCTTTCCTCTGACGCTGTAAGATTTCTGCGAACAAGTTCAGTCACACCTGCGTGTAGTATATATTTGATTTGCTAATCTACTCCTCAAAAGAGGCAGCTCAAATATCCATCTACAGTAATATCCATCTAGAGTATTCTCACTGAAGAAATTGAGCAGCTGATGAAGTATTTCTCTTTTATGTTCATGCAGTTCCTTATTTCAAATATAAATATGCTCTTTTGAATGGTTGTTTTCAGCTTCACGAGAGCAGCTATGATGCAGGCAAGGCTCTGCAGCGCCTGGTGAAGAAGCCGGTACCCAAACTAATAGAGAAGTGCTGGTCTGAGGATGAAGTGGTAAGAAATACAACTTCTTATTTGTGAATTTATTTATTTGTTATAAGCTAATATGCAGAACAAATTAGTATTTTTTTCATACTGCTCATGTAGTCTTATTAGCAGTTGTAGCTTTATTTTTGTGGTAAACATAATTTTTGTCTGCTAGAGCTGAGTTGATGTCTTTAGAGGGAGCTGTTGAGAGTTAACACAAGGCTCCTGGCCAGCAGGAGTAAAAAAAAAACAGTTTCCAGCTCCTCCAAGGCTCAAGAGCAGCTGCGTCCTGTTTATTACCCACAAAATAAATCTTTTTGCATGGAAGTCTGGAAAGGGAAAAGATTGGAGGGGGCTGCTAATGTTGGCCTTCATTTGTATTTATTGTAGATGTGAATTTCACCACAGCTGCTGCAGGGCTGAAATCAGAAAATGGCTGATCAAACACCACAACACGAGTAGGAAGGAGGGGAATGAAAGCTCTGAATTACACCATGTCAAAACGACCGAGCACTGTGGCTTTGGCTTTTATGTGATTTGACACACTGGGCTCCATGTTTGTATACCCACTCCCTTTTAAAGATAACACTGTTGCCTCATCAGACTGGAGATCTTAGATGGCTTCATGCCACAAGATTTCTGCTGTTTATCCTCCTCCAAGACAAACAAATCCTACACATTCCCCTTTGATTTTTTTTTTCCAGAAGCTGCAGAGCTTAGCTTTTCCTCCTGCTTTCATGTATTTAAGGAATATAAGCAGACTTTTTCATCATGTAATCTTGTCATGACTTGCACATTTCATCACAGGAAATCAAGTCTGATTATTTTTGTAGACAAGTTAGGTGATGGATGATATAGGGATAGGGACTACAGTAGTCCCTCACTACTTCGCAGTTCATTTTTCGTGGACTCGCTCTATCGCGGTTTTTCAAAACAAGATTGGACATGACACACAATTGGCTGATTGATGGATGAGCCACACGATCGGCATGGAATTTTTATTTAAAATGAATTATTTTAAATTATTTAGCACCTTTGTGCAGCCCAAGCAGCAGAAACTTCCGCCTGCAGCTGATCAGCTGATCTCTGCTCTGCAGTTGAGAAGTGGGCGTGGCCAAGAGTGGCGGAGCGCAGAGGAGGCAGAAAGCTGAAATCATGACATTCTGCGCTCTTTTAGAGCGTTTAGAGTTTAGAAACATTGTTTAGAATATTGCAAGTGTGGGAAGGGTTTAGAATGCCTTTTTATGTATGAATATATATATATATATATATATATATATATATATATATATATATATATATATATAAAACTACTACTTATACTACTATTCTTACTTTGCGGTTTTTCACATCATGGGGTTTCAGGGTACGGGTCCTCCGCAATAAACGAGGGACTACTGTACCCTGTTTAGAGGAGGCTTTATTTATGCACTTCATCTCAGAAAGTCCACCTCAGGAGCTACTGTGAAAAGAAACGCTGCAAAAACATGACAGCAGTGAGAAAGAAAATCTTTATTCAGATTTTTACAAATTGTCATTCTTTACTTTTGATATTCTAAACTTTACATCTGCAAGTACGGTATCATTTTTGTAAAATAGCGTAAGGAAATGTTATCACAGCATGTTTTTCCTAAAGATGTCCAAGTTGTTCACAGACAGAAAACAAAATCTTTAGTTCTCATGAGGAAATTAAACACCGAATGTCTTCATATCTACACCATTTTATGTTGTTAAAGGGAGACTAGTCAGAAGAGATGGACGCAGCCAAAGTTTGCACCAGAATAACACTCAGGAGAGAAAACACAAACATTCAAATTGTTTATAATGTAAACATTTACTAGTTGGATAATTAAATGCATATTTATTTCAACATTTAATATACCATAATAAGATTTTAAAAAAATTTCAAAGCCACTCAGCTGATCTGAAATGCTGTTAACTTTGTTCCATTGTTGGAAAACTGATTATGCTTGCATTTAATTGGAACAAAAAGCTTTTCAGCTGATAAATTAATTCATTTTTATAATAACGCTGCATTCTTCTTTGCCAGCATCTCCGTTCTCACTTGTACAGACTCATTTATTATTGTGTTTATCTTCTCCCGACGTTGTGTAAGTCGAGTTGAGGAGCTGTCATGGAGTTTGGTGCGATTTTGTCCATGTTTAAAGCTGGTGTGTTTGTGTCTATCTGTGGAGGCTCGTGTTTCGACACCGATCGGTCCGGGACGCAGCTTGCAGAGATCCGATCACCTGCTTGTGCCTTTTCAGTCCTGCAGCCTTGGAAGGACGGGCGTAAATGTAGCTCCAACCTTGACGCACTCGAAGAAGCCTGCCCTGCTGCTCTTCATTTTTTATCACCCTTTGCTCCCCTTCTGCTCTCTCATCTCCCTTCCCAGACTGGCATCATTATTCCTGCCTGCTCCGTTCACCCCACCCGTTGTTTTAGATGTGAATAAAAGTGACAGCGGGGCCGCTGAAATGACAGAATGAGCTTGTCTGCAGGGTCACTTGTCACTTCCCCCTCCCCACTCTGACGTCTTGTGTCCCCACCATTCTACTTCAACAGTCTTCTCTACGCCTGCAGCTGATGTCATATAGCTCATAAATCCTAAACCTTGTCTCAACTTCCTAAACTCAATAATATTTATTATTTTTATCAACACACATAACGATAAAGGCTCATTTATAACTCATTTCATTATAGCTCTGCAAAAAAGTAGCAACTTTGCTGGACTTTTTATCATCTCCTCTCCTCTTGGAAAGATTTGTGACAGTCAACCTTGAACAATCTTTTACTCTGACATTATTAGAGCACCTTAAACACGCTGAAAATCCATCACCTTGAAGTGAGCGCCTCTCAGGCCCTTCCATGCACGAGTACAGCTGTGACTCTAAATTACACCAAAGAAAACTCTCATGCAATATAAAATAGATAAAATATAAAACAATGAATTATTCATGAGAAACATCTAATGTGCAGCCTAACCTCCTTGTAGCCTTTATGCAGTGGGCTGATGAAGTTACAGCAGTCGTTTATTTAACCACCAAGAAATGGATAAAATGTGCTGTGTTGTTGCAGTCGGTGAAAAGTCTTTCGTTCAGTTAGATGTGGTCGTTCACTGCTTTTACAAACTGAGAAAGGCTGTCTGTCTGCACCAGTTCATGTGTGTTACATCAGAAAACACCAGAAGAGAGCACATCAATTGAAAAGCACACAGATTGTTTCTTTCTTTTCTCTTTTGTTGCCATTACATTTTTCTTTGGTGTGTTGCAAAGAAGGAAATGATGTTGCAACACCAAACAGTTCATCTGCATGAACGAACGCTCATTTGTTTTTAAAATGCATGAAACCACTGGCAGAAAATGGTTATCAAAGACAGGCACTTCTGCTTTTTGCACTGCACAGATTGTTGCCATGAGATACGTTTTGGTGTCTGCAGATGGTCACTGCTCACATATGTTTCAAATTATAAAAAGCTGTGGCTCAGGAATTAAATGGATAAATTCAGTCTTTTTTTTTTACTTTATGCAATAAAACTTTGAAGCTATGCATGCATTTTTCTAATAATCGAACACCAAAAAGCATTTTGAATGAAATATGATGGACACATTGAAGAGTTGATCAAAGCATTGACCTTGTAATTAGAAAATGATCAGTCCACCTGTTGAACCAAGCCCACCTCCAATAACTACTTCTACTTTTGTGAAATATTTTAAACTCAAACAAATGCCTTAGATTCCACATCAATGTAATATTTACAGGTAGAGCTCAAAAACTTAAAACATTTTGAAAAAGTAAAAAAAAAAAAGTCAATCATTTCAGAAAATGAAACTCCTATATTACATAGATTCATTGCACATCGAGTGAAATATTTCAAGACTTTATTTCTTATAATTTTCATGATTATGGCTTACAGATAATGAAAAAACAAAATTCAGTGTCTCAGAAAATTAGAATATTGTGAAGAAGTTCAATACTTTTATCTCCTGGTGTCACACCCTAATCAGCTGATTAATTCCTAGACTTGAGCTACAAATGTGTCATTCCTCAAGTCCAGCCACTCCTGAACCAGACATCAGAAGCATCTTACCTGCTGAGGAGGCAAAGAGCTGGACTGTTGCTCAGTGGTCCAATGTCCTCTTTTTAGATTAAAGTAAATTTTCATGTCATTTAGAAATCAAGGTCCCAGAGTCTGGAGGAAGAGTGGAGAGGGCCAAAAATTCATGTTGCTTGAAGTCCAGCGTGAAGTTTCCACAGTCAGTGATGATTTGGGACCATGTCCTCTGCTGGTGTTGGTCCACTGGGTTTGCTGAAGTCCACGGTCAACTCAGCATCTACCAGAACATTTAGAGCTCTTCATGCTTCCTTCTGCTGACAAACTTTATGGAGATGCTGATTTCAGTAGAACTTGGCTCCTGCCCACACTAACAAAGGTACCAAAAGCTGGCTGTGGAATATTCTCATTTTCTGAGACACTGAATTTTGTTTTTCATTATCTCTAAGCCATATTTATCAAAATTACATGAAATAAAAGCTTGAAGTATTTTACACTGTGTAATGAGTGACACATTGGTAGAACTGGGATCCTGAGTACACAATTTCATTCCACCTCATGTACCACATGTATTGCAAATGACAATAAACTTGACTTGAATCTATGTAATGTGAGTTTGACTTTCTGAAATGATTAACAAAAATTAGTAGTTTTTCACAAAATTATAATTTTTTGAGATGCACCCCGTATTGAATTTGATTTGCTGTAATCCTCTCAATGTTCAGATATCATCAGTTGTCTGCTTCCTTTCTAATTTAATAAAGGTAAATAAGTGTTATTTTATTTATTATTTCTTTATACCTAATGTGTCTAAATCTAATGATTGTATTTAGTTTTGCCTGGATTTGTGCACAGCCATATTGAAAAGTATGGTCACCTGTGGTTGTGGTCATTTCTGATTGTAAGTAAGTGGTGCTAATATTCCATCGGCCAACAGGAGGTGCCCTATAAACGATCAGAAGCAGCTGCAGCCTTGCTGTGTGTCACCACGTCGGAGACGGAGGCTGATCTATGACTGCTGCAGGGCGGGAGGTCTATTTCTCAACCAGCTGCACTGTGCCGCGGCTTATCTCCGGCTGTGCCTTTAGCTGATGGATGACTGCACTGAAGCAGGAGGGGGGACGAGGGAAAATGAGGGAGAGGACAGAGTAGCAGACCCCCAGTGGAAGAATACAAGCAGTCAAACCAAAAACACTCCAATAAAACAAAAACGCTTCATCCAAATAAAAGTGAAAAGAGGCGTCTTGCTTCTCCGGCTGCAGGCTCCACAGTTTACGGTACGGTGCCAGCGAAGGTTTTCTTAGTGTTTTGTAACTAGCGGGCAGGATGGGCGTGTACTGGAATTTCCTGTCACCTTTTGTGTCAGTACAAGCTAAATAGAAAGCAGCGCTTGTTACTTTGCCTTCCAAAGGTCATGTTTTTGAGAGCTGCCACATTTATTTTAGGCTAAATATAAAAAATAAAAAATATACTTTTGGTCTGTTAGGGTAAGGTGATAATTACTTACAATTATCTTTTCGTTATTAAAGAACATGCCTCCTAAAATATCTACACACATTTGAAATGGTCTAAACATAGATCACCTTGTGTAGAATGTGGGTAGTAGCGTCCGTCAGTGCGGTTCTTTATTCAGCATGTTGTGATTTCCTCTTTGTACACTGTGACTAATCTTTGAGTTGATATTTTATAAAAGACATCTTTTTTTTTCCTCTTGGTTTTGGCTAGCTTCCTGCTCGTCCTCGGGCCTCTGGATTTGTACACATCAGGCTCGTAAAGGTCAGCTTTTAACAACAAGCTGGGTATAATGAGTCCATATTGAGTGAAAGTAGCTTTGTTTTCAGTTGGACCCTCTTGCGTCAGTGTTTTTCAGGGAATGACATTTAGTGGGACGTATGCTCCATGTGAGAGCCTGCCCTCTGTTTGTCATCATGATACCATCTGTGTGCCTATGTCTACATTATCTTAACCAGTTTTGCAACTCCACACAATCGGCTTTCGAGCAGGATGTGCGCATACGCAACAATGACCCATTGAATTTTTATTTTTTTAAAATTCTCCTCCTTTTATATGTCTCCTTCAGCCTCACAATGGCGCACTGTTTGGCTCGGAGGGGAAACTTGGGGAGGGTAAAAAGCGCCAGCTCTCTGGAACACACTCTGAGAGAGAAGCCTGTTGTTTCTGCACAGCGGATGGCCATTTGGTAGCACTTCCACCCAGCTACCCCCGCTCCTCCTCCTCCCCCCTTCGCCTCTCTCAGCCCCTCCTCTGCCGTTGTTGCCTAGCAACCAAGGGCTGGAGCAGTCGGAGCAGGGGCAGAACGATTCAGGGAGCAGATTGGCGGATGATTTATTAGCTGGGCTGGAGAGCCGTGAGCCCAGGCAGCTGAAATGGAGCCTTAAACTGGAGCCGACATGTAGGGAGGGAGGAGGGAGCCAGCAAGAGAAAGAAAAGTGATGGGAGGTGGGAGCAGGGAGCATGGAGCTCCTCTGTGGAGAAGAACGCTCAGACTGAGTAAATAGTGCAGTTGGTGAACACAAATAAGGAGATCCAACCTCTGTAGCCTTAGAGCAACTAAAGAGATGTCTGAGTTTGTTCTCATCCCCTCTTTCTGAAAACTAAAGCAAATATATAAATAATTTATGGCAATATTTTATATGATACATTATTCAAGCTAATATTTCCAGTAGACATGTCATCAGGTCTCCTGTAAAGTTGGTCCTCTGAATCTCTGTAGGACCGGTGATGTGTCTGAGTGACGGTCCTGATCTGCACCTCAACCCTTCGAGTGGTCGGAGATGTGTTCCACATGTGGGGAGACTTTGTCAAAGACTGCTCCACCTACTGGCTAATCAGCCACTCCGCTGTCACACTGATGAATGCAAATAACCCGCTGTCCCGTGACACCGACGGCTTTTTTTGTTTAGCTGTCTGCAGCGCGCGTGTCCTTTGATCGTGCCTTTGAAGTTTGATTGTTTTGTGCCGGTTTATTACTTTAACGTTTCATGTTCAAGACTACACCCCAAAACTATAAAACCTGAGACTTTCAAGTGTGTTTTGCATAAAGACAATACTTTAAGTGTAGGGTGTTTATTCTTTTGGTGTGTTTTGCCCTGTAATTTTACCCCCTGGGAAACAGTTGTTTTGCAGCTGGCTGTGTTACTTGAGTAAATTTAGCTTTTATTCTTCACCAAAGCTGGATATGTAAATAATCTGTGGTTACGTAACTCTCTGTACATGGCATGGAAAATGAGCTCCAGAAACTCCTTGAAAGGGAGACTCCACGTCGGGTTTTCCTTCCCACTCGTCCAGGATCTCTCCACACAGCTCCCTCTCAGCCTGGCAGCTAGTTTGTCCTCTGTCCATAAGCTCTACATTCATTTAAAGGACTACTGTAGTTTTCTCCTAAAATGGCAAATGCCTTTAGTGTTATTTTAGTGACAAACTGTGGCTTGTGATTTAGTTTTGTGAGTGTAGCAACAGCGATCCAGCTCGTTCAGTGTTAGAGGAAGCCAGAACGAGCTGAAAATAGCACCGTCCCCTCAACATGAAGTGCACAAATCCACCTCTGGTTTTGCAGCCTGCTGCAAAACCAGAGGCTCTCTTGCAGAAAGATCACATGTAAAGCCTTCCCCTTTGTAGTGGAAAAGCAGAGAGTGACAAGCTATTTCTTTCTTGTTAAGGAAAAGAGCCGTGCTGTCGGAGACCTTGTGGATTTGTCCCTTGGTTCATTTTTGCTTTTCCTTTTACCTGTGGCTGGTTGTGGAGGTCCGTGCTGCGCTCCCCGTGGACTTTCCCCTGTTTTTTGCTGGAGTTACTTGGTGGAAACGGTTGGCTGAGATCACTGAGGAACAGGGCTCGCCTCTGGAGCAAGAAAGTAAATCTGTTAGTTGTCTGCTTCGCTGGTTATGAATGTTTTCAGCCACTGCTTTTTATGGCTCGCAGTCTGTGGCTCTTAAAGGAGAAGGAATGTACTCGGGCTGTTTGGATTTTGGCTTTTCTGTGTTCCCGGCGCTGTTTTTGCTCTTGTTGAGGTGAGGTCACTTTTCACGTCAGATTAAAGCCAGTGTCATCAAGCAGTCTTCTCTTTCTTCAGGTTAACTTCCTTTCTTTATGGCAGAACACGTGTCAGTTTGACCTCTTGATGTCTTTTTTTCTTTTCTTTTTTTTTTTTTTTTTTTTGTACGGTTTTAAAATTTATAAAACACAAAAGAGGAAAAATAGAATCTGCCCAGTATGCACAGAGACATTTTCTTACTTTTCAACTCTCAAGTTATAGCTTTTTGACATTGAACTTGTGCTCGTGAGATAAAAAAAAAAAAAAAAAAAACAGGCGTAAAACGTCTGCCAGTGTGTGTTTTCGTATCGGATGTATGTCTGTAACTGTGTGTTTTCACAGCACAGTAAAAAGACTAACCTAATCTCAGCGTCTCTCCCTGTCGTACTTGTCATTTCCTCTCTCGTTTTGCTCTGACATGGCCGTGTTTGCTCCGGGGTTTAAACAGCACAGTTTGTGAAACACACATCAAACCTCTCTGACCACAGACTGGCAAAAAGAAAACAGTCCCCCCCCCCCCACACACACACACACACACACACAAACACACACACACACTGTTGTGGTGCTCAGCAGTGACTTTTTGCAGCCGTGGTTTAGCTGATTTCACACACACTAACTTGCCTTTCTTTCTTTTCTTTTCTTTTTTTCTTCTCTCTCTCTCTCTCTCTCTTTCTTCCTCTGTGAAAAATTGCAGAAGCGCTTCATTAAAGGGCTGAGACAGTTTGGCAAAAACTTCTTCAGGATCCGGAAGGAGCTGTTGCCCAACAAAGAGACGGTAAGAACAGTTACTTTTGTCTCCAGCAGAACTTTTTCCATTTGTTTTAGGGACTGAATGAGGTTCGTTACTGGAAATGCTGGGAACTTGACCAAGAAAACATCTTTAGTGAGATATTTTCAGTACGGCTACTTTTTAACCAGAGTGATCAGAAGTAAGTGCCAACGACTGAACTCCTCGGATTATCAACAAAAGAATAAGATATTATACTTGTATATACTTCAGATAGGTGACACATTAAAAACTAATCATTGTGAAGTTATTTTGTTTGTGCAGCAACTCTGAGGCGTAGTTTGTGCTAGTTATAACACAGAACTTAATATTTTAGATATTTTTTTTTTTAACAAACTTAGGGGTAGTTTGCACTAAATTAACAGATATAAACACTAATTTTTAATTTTAAAGTCTGTCAAAATTTGAGACTTTAGCTAAAAAAAAAGTGTTTATCGATTTCAAACATTTAAACAAAATTTTAGCAGCATCCTACAATATTAACAACTGAGACTTTGTGCTGTCAAAACACTTTTCAAGCTCATTAGGGGCTGTAGTTTCCTGGTAGGTGTAAGATTTAGCTCAGTGCCAAAGCTTTTGATTTGTAGCGACAGCTATTTAATGTCTCTCCCACCCTGTTTTTGTGTTATTTATGTAGATGTTTTGGTATTGTCACACTTCGCTCTCCCGTGTGGGAGTGTGCACGCACGACACTGTTGTCTGAACAACTGTGTGCTGTGTCTCACACTACAAATGTCTCCGATCCAGTCATGCTGATGATTAACAACCGTTAACCTTACTGAATGAAACTTACCTTGATAGGACAACACAGAAACCACATTTTTTACTTCCTGTATTATAACCTTTAGACAAAGCAAAACAAAACTTATCGAACAAATAATGTTTTCCTCAATTGTGTCTTTACTACACCAAGCATTAACTTGAACGTTTCTGTCCTTCACGCTCGTGACTTGTCTGTAAAATGTTTCTCAGAACAGCCTTGTGGTTCTTAAAACCGTTCAGATTTTGTTGCTTTTGTGCGGCGGCTCTTGCTGGAACCGTGTCGATGCAAAGCTGACGTAAACATCAAAGGAAACTCAAAGTTGTTTGTCATCCTTCTCATCTGCTTCGTTTCCTCGTCTGCGGGGAGGTTAGGGTCCACCAGCCCTCTTCCTCAAACACCCCGACATTCATTCACGCAAGAGCTCTTCACTGTCACTTCCTTTCTGCTACATATTTTTATTCCTGAAAACCAATTTGGACCTTTTGAATAAGAGATTAAAGTGTAGGAATGCTGTTTTTTTTTCTTTTAAAATATATGACCCATCTAGTTTGATCTAGGTTGATTGGCTATAAAGTTGGCATTAATGCAATTCAACCTGGAGGGGGCGAGTCTTCTTGACAGGAAGGGTAATGGACTTCCTCCAGGATCAAGGCCTGCCACCACCTCAAAACAGAGAAAGATTAATTTTCCTCCTGCAAATGGAAAACAAACTGGCCTTTAAGCACATGAAAGGATGACCGTCAGAGCAAACCGAAGTAACATGTGGGGAAATGCTAAAGCTCAGTTTAAACTCAGAAGGGTGCGTTGAAACATGGAGAATCTTTGTTTTATGATTTTTTTAATTTTTTTCCCCCAAATATAAGCACTAAAACAACACTTAAAGATACTTTCAATCCTTATGGCGGTTTTATCTTCAGTCTCATGCATTTGTGTTTTACTCCCATGTCAGACCACGAAAACAGCGTATTTCACAAGCATGCACGCTTCTGCTCTAAATCCCAGCCGGACTGCGGAGCTTTAAGCCCTTGGGCTGATATCCAGACGTCCAGTACAGCTTGTGTGCCCCTCACTGCCCCTGAAACCAGCACAGCCCCAACACTCAGGGCCAAGGTTAGACACCCAGCGCTGTGTAAACACAAGACCTGACCAGCAGTCAGGAATGCCTCATTTAAAGCCACATAAATGCCCCAGCGGGGGGAAGTGGGTGTGTCGTCCGACCGTCTGCAACCGGCTCTGCTGCCACCATTTGCTTCAGTCCAGAGGGGACGTCATGGAACATGAGCTGCCTCCCGTGTTTGAACAGCTAAATATGCTGAAACGACAGATCACAGATAACTCCGCGGCTCATACTTTTTTTTTTTTTTTTCTACTGGAGGAGTTTTCAGAACGTTGTTGTTGTTTTAGTGGATATCAACAGACTGTTTGCTAAAGTGATATGCGTCAGCTTTGTTTGCTGTGCAGCCAAACACAGAAATGGACAAATTAATCTTACATTAAACTTTAAATGTTTTTACAGCCTTTAACCTAGAAAATTTTAAATAAGAGAAAAAAAACATCATCAGATAATAGTTTAACTTTTTTTGTGACTGACGAAGGTTGTTGCTGTTTTTTTTTTTTTTTTTTTTTTTTTTTTTTGTGGAAATCATAAAAATGCTTCACAGATTAAAAGCATTATTGTAAAAACAACTCACGCCTAAAATTGTATCCAGTTTATCTGAAGGAGATTTTAATTGTGTAAAAAGCAGAGTAATTTACTTGATACTCACATGAGTGTATTATGAAGTTTATTTATAGATCATAAACATGATGAGCACCAGAACCGAGAGCAACTATAATCTAATAAACTCGGTGAAGCAGCATAAAACAATTTACAAGCTCAGAACAAAAGCTTTTAGTAACTGTGTATTTTTATCAGCTCATTTTTTTCTTCTTACTTCATTTCTGCTTTCTGTTGTTGACTTCACTCCCTTCAGTCTGTGGTAAAAATTAAAGATTAGAAATTGTTCTGGCACAAATGGCTGAGTCTAACTTTAATTTAGATTTGTAAGCGAGTCCGTCAGAATAGTTAAGATACTGCATTAAAAACATTTATTATAAAACAGTATTTTTTTATTGTAAACATTGACTGTAAACCACAGAGGCTTAAACTAGATAGGGTGAACAAAATGTGAAGAGTTGGGGAAAAAAACAGCAGTGCCATATTTGAAAAGTTAACAAAATAACTCGTTCAAAAAAAAAAAACCAAACAGATGAAACTATTTAGATAAATCTAACAAAGTTGAGTCAGGTCATCGGGACGGTTTCTTTATTTTTTCTTTTTTTTAATTCGTTGAGACGTTTCATCCTTCATCCAAAGGACTTCATCAGTCCGAGGAGCCGCAACAAACTAATTAACATAAGTAGCACACTCATATAGTGGACCAACCAATTTGCTGGTGATAAGAAGGTTTCTAGAGCCCGCCCTCTCCCCCTTCGACTCCTCTGAGGCAGCCATAGTCAAAGTGGTTCAAAACATCAAAGTTCATGCTCAATAATCCAGGTAGAAAAATAAAAAAAAATCCAACAAAGTTAAGTCAGGTCATCTTGACTTTTTTATTTTTATTTTTATTTTTTAGACGTTTTTGTCCTTAATCCAAAGAACTTCATCAGTTTTTCAGACTTCATCAACCACTTTGGCTATGGCTGCCTCAGCGGGGTCGACGGGGGAGAGGGTGAGCGCCAGAAACCATCTTATCACCATTAAACTGGTTGATCCACTATGTGAGTGTGCTACTTGTGGGACTTTGTTGTGGCTCCTTGGACTGATGAAGTCCTTTAGATGAAGGACGATGCGTCTCGACAAAAAAAAAATAATAGAAACCGTCCATACACTGACTTAACTTTGTTGGATTCTTTTTAACTTGGATTATTGAGCATGAACTTTGATATTTACCGTAGATAAATCCAAACCAGTTTATGTACAGGTTACTCAGTCTAGATTTTTCAGCTTGTTATTTAATTTTACCCTCTGTGATCACTGCTGACTGTACTGCTTAGTTTTAAATAGCCTCCTTTGATGTTCAGACCAACCAGAAGGTAACATGCTGAGCTGTTTTGTAGCATCTTGTTCTCCCTCAGAAAACAGAGTGCTCTGTCCCCCAGCTTCTGTCATTTACAGGACAGCCAACAGCAGAGCAGCACTCGACACAACCTAGCAGCAGATGTTTGCCTCGGTACAATCTGTACAAACGTCAAATTGAATCCATTGCCATGTCTTTAGCTCAGCAGCCAGAACCTTGGGGGAATGAGTGCTATTACAAATACTTAGGTTCAAACACTAATTAAACCATCTACAAACTACAGGGGCCTCAACAGTTTCTGCAGTTGTGTGTGGCAGAACAGCTTCCATGTTTGGTAAATGATACAACTTGTTTAGGCAGTAAAATTACTGTCGGTTGAGGAAAACCCAACTAGCGCGTATTGATGTTCTTACAGCAGACCACAGGCAATTCAGTCAAATGTAGGCAAAATCTTTTTACAGCCTAATAGATGGAGCCCGCAGCGGCAGAGCTCCCTGCGTAATTGAGTCTTTGGTAGGCTTCATGTTGTGGTTTTGGGGGACTGATTTATCAGCAGAACGTGCCGGATCGACCCTCCAGCAGAAAAAAAAAAAGCACTGTTACCATCCAATCTGCTTTCACTGGCAAAAGCGCTTACAGCGGGAAAACCACGAGTGCTGATTCTTCAGCATGTGCATCCCTGACCTGTGAAAGCAGAGCTTATTCAGTCATTCTCTGACAGAAAGGCACTGCACAGCAGAGAACGTCTGTCGGTTTAACCAGCTCTCTCACAGCTGAGATCCCCTCACTGCTCCATGTTCAGTGTGACGTGTCGCTCTGCGTTATTATTAAAGATGCAGTGATCAGTTCTCTTGGTCGATTCCAATTTCTGATTTTTGTAAAGCTATAGTTATAATTATGACACTGATTTATTTCTAAAAACTAATTGACAGCATGTAATTTTTACATTTCTAGTGGAAAATCTGTTAATTAAAAAAAAATACATTTCCTTTATGTGTCGGATAAAATCTATATATTTAAGCTTTTTTTTCTTACTTTTATGTTTTAAACATAGCATTGTACTCAAGCATAGAATGTTTTGTTGTTGGATCTGTGAAATGAATTAAGTTATTTGGTAATTTTATAGAAAAGTTATAACTATTATTAGGTCATTAAATCTTTGTTTA